CCTACATGAGTGGGGCAGCACCATCGTTCACCAAATCGTTGTCACATAATTTCAGGAAAAACACTCAAATCCAATACGATAAGATTCCTAATATATGAAATAAAAACAAAACGTTGTATCATTCGAATCACTTGCAAGGAAGCTGATGCTTTCATAAATCAAGCCCTAGGGAAGCCAAATTAGATCTGAAGCTGGCAGAACTCGCATTAAATCAGAAAACGGAAACTCATTACTGACGCGATTGTGAAGGCGGATCATTATTGACAACTGTGGAAGAGCCCAATACTGAGTTTGGTCATTAGGAAATCAGATAGTGAGACATGAGTGTTGTACTTTACTCTTACTCCATAATTCATGAATATAATGCCAAATGTGAATGATAATGATGTTTATCGTATATACGGGTATAAGGCTCCAATAAAATCACAAAACTGGGACTAAAGAAGAAATGAGTGAAGTATCGTTTTCTCGGAGAGATAGCGAAAATAACTTTGAACAGAGAACACTGGAGGCAAAATAAAACATGAACATGATTGCGATTATTAGGGTAACATGTGAAGATATTACCGGATAAGTAAAAGCTATCTGTACTTCTGGAAACTCCGAACAACTTAGCAGGCTGATGATTCCAATGTCTCCTTGTTTTTGTGAATTTTTGGAAGAAACTCGTATCTTCTAGCTTAATGAAGATGTTAGTTATATTGGCCTCCTTCAAACATGAACATTGAAATACTGTAGTGTTGATTATAATAGTATCTACCCTTTAGCCAGCGACCAAAACGATCAAAAAATAAATTTTGCGCACAGTATTGCAAATCGATTTTAATTGCATTCAGAGTCTTGGAGTCAATCTGGTCCGAAGAACGGCAAGGGTTTGACTGGTATTGAACTAAAATATTTAACTTGTGACTATCATGCCTGATGTAAATGCTGTGGGAATATTCCACTGAAACACGGCTGTGATGCACATTTCTGTCAACTAGATTTGACTTGGAATACTTGCATCTGCATCTGCTATTTCAGGTCAAGAATTATGCAGCCAATGTGTTACGTGAGACGTGGCTTATATACAAGTATACCAAATTGGCCAAACGTGTGGATGCTAGCAAAGTGCGAACTCATCAGCGGAAATTTCTGCGAGCAATTCATGGGTACGTTTATAGTATTTCCAGATCTAAGGCGAACAAACTGATGTCCATGTGCTATACCAAACTTGTAAACAGCTTTTTCCCTTTTATTCTGTTTACAGAAGTCGAAACGACTTGCCTACTGTTTATCATGTATATGTGATTCAATAGCCTGGGTCCAAATGACAATGAAATTAATTTTACTTCAGAAGAAACGTTATTCACGTACGGAATGTGCTATAGTTCCACGTCATGACACGTTCTCACTAGGGAAACAATAGCTGGTTTTGCTTGCCATTTTATGCTTTTATGAGTAGCGTCTTGTAAAGGAAATCCTAACTAGAATTTGTTACATGCATATAATAACCGTTCTCACATACTTGTGATGTGTAACCTGAGGTTCAATTTTTCAATTTCAGTGGTGGCTGATCCACAATAGTGAAATGTATGCAGAAACTCCGCTCACGGGTAAACTCGTCAAAATAGAAATATGCAGAACGCACCCGGAGTTGTACAACTACTGTAAGGATGTACCAAAAATTGTTTTCCAAAAGAAGTATCTTCCGTAAAGTAACAGCGTCGAAACTGATTGTTTATTGTGGTAGGCCACCTGTCCAAGTTACCAAGGCGTTGAGGGAAAAGTAAACCCTAAATGTCTGTTCAGGATTGTTTGGCGATATGGCTCAAGTGAAGGTGAAAATAATCAGAACATAAGCCCTCCTTTAACAGATGGCTGATTTCAGTGGACTTTCGGAGACTTTAAAGATTAATAACAATAAATGTTTAAATAAAACCTCCTTCAAGTTCGTATAACGCCGTAATGTGCCAAGGAGAAAATTAGCGGGAATGAATTTCCTACGTCTGATTTCCCCTATAACTTGTACACATCATTTTCTTTCTTTACTGGAATTCATTCATCAACCCTGGGCGTCAAATTTCAAATCCCTAGAAAGTGATCCACAAATCGAATAACGTCTGCTTTTAGCCCGAAAATTGTCGTTATGCCAGATCTTAGATTAGTTCAACCAAAGGTGACCTTACTTCGTTAGGTTTATAGCCCAGAGATTATTAAATAAGAACAGAAACAACGTCCCTGTAAGTGAAATGAATCCTTTTCAAACCCTCGATAAAAGATCCACATGACAAGTGTACGTTGGAGACGAAATTCGCATTTGTATAGGTATGCATTGGGTTCAAAGAATCAAACAACTGACAAAAAGGATGGCAGGCAAATTGCTCATCAAAGTTGTGCTGTCCATCACAACGAAAATTTTCGGCAACGCTTCTCTTGGTGAGAAACACGTATCAACGGAGTATAGAAACGAAAATGGAAGGTGCTGTAGTTTAAATTTATGGCTTTTGTGTAAAACACCCAAATCGAAACGTCGGGGTGGGAGGGAGTATTCACACAAGTAAATTGAAGCATGATGCGAATGCAAAATGTCAGTTTCATTCACTAAACCATAAACCGAGGCTGTTTTCATATTGTGTTCTTAAAATATCCTGCCCAATTACCGCAGTTTAGTGAAATCCGGCTCTGTTTCCGATAGAACAGGATTGTAACCAAGATTACTTCAGTAATGATGTGCAAATATATAGATTTGTGTGTGCAAAAGTGACAAGATTATTTTCATCCGTCCAGACACACATGTTTCCGTTTCCGATTCTAACGTAGAAAACTCTTCATTTGGAAAAAGGCGCAAGTTCCATCATGGAAAGACGTTTTTCGTTTCTAGCATTTTCGACTCCAAATCTATATTCAAAAGATGGCGATTCAGATAACCACAGATTTTCCGGGTCTCAATTAAAAAGGTTTATCACGGAAAACATTTTTCCCAACTTCAGAAGCCAATGAAAGCCTCTGAGGCAGAAGCGTTCAGATATGCGTCTACTGTTCACAAGATGAGTGTGAATACCAAACAAAACTTGAGGGTGGTAGAAAAACCCACACCTGGAGGACAGTGTTTATGAACAAAATGCGGAATAAAATAAATTGAAGAAACAAGAATCAACCATAATTTGCATAGGAACATTCAAGCGATTAACGCCTAAGGAACAGTAAGAGTAACAACGCGAAATGGATATATACTGAGTAAACAGAATGGAAATTTGAAAAAAACAAAGACCTCATTTGCAGAAGAGAATTTTTGCCGTTATAAAATGTAAATTAAATTTCATAGGAAACGTTGTATACTGAAGTCCTCAATGAAGCAATTATTAGACTGCAGTCTGAGTGAAACTGAATGATTAGTCCGAGATCAAGTAAGTCTAATGAGTGAGCGTAATCCAGGATTGTCACCTAAACGGTCCTTGTTTAGTGCAAATGCTGTACACTGCGCAATATGCGCAATATTGTCAACCGTAGACACTGGTTGTCTCTAAGGTCAGTGGAAAGTAAATGTGAATCTGAATTCGGTATAGTAAGACTTACGAGAAATATATAAAAAACTCTGAGTAACAGAAATATGCAAATAATAAATCAGCACTTCGTCCATACACTTTTGATAATAAATTTCATCCGGATATGTCCTTCTGGTTTGGCAATACTTTCTCATCGGCGGAATCCACTCGAAGGAAAAGGTAAGGACCCCTAATGTGTCCATGCATTTTTCACTTCGCTCTATTTAACTTGGGTTGAGAACATAAAACGCAACTGGAATCACTGAAGTTACCGGAAAAGTATCTTTGGCACTAGTATGGTTGTAATGCGGTAATGATGATTCAATCTTTTAGCAATATACGGATTGAAATTTTAGCTCAAATGAAGCCCATTAGGGTTAATTATAAATCGTGTTCACACATTACATGTTAAACAACTCACATCTGCTACCTGCCATGTCACAGGTATATTCCCAATCTAGGTATCGTTTGGATCTTTGTACTTGTAAAATTATTTCTTGATTTGTATCCCATGATCAGCTGAACGGAATATCTGATGAAATGGTATTTGTCAAGTTCACTGTGTGCAAAGGGCACTGATAAATAAATGGATCAGGATCGGAGTGTAAATCTGCTATTGTATTAATGAAGAAAGCGGTTCCTTTTCCAAATGTATTCCACTCTTTTGAGTTGATTCTACCATTTTTAATAAGTTTTCCGATTACGATTAAATGCATGGCTTTTGGGTGATGGTCTTGGTTGACAGCACCTCATTTGACAATTGTATAAAAATCTCAGCAAACAGTTATCAGTCCTCGGTAACTGTTCTGTTATGTCTAACATAAACAAAATGAAGGCCAACATCAAGGTGATTTCGGAAATAGGAAAAGCAAACATCCACACCGGATATCAGTGGTCAATTGCAATTCCAGTTGTCTGCAACTAAAGTGTTGACAGACGCGTTATTTCCTGTCCGCCTTTTCCTGTGACTTTTAAATCATTGATCCAAGAGTAAGTCTGAAGTTACTGTTACCTCACTAGTCTCTTTTGCGAACTTTCCAGAGTGCAACTTCGTAAATTGTTTCACATCCCCAATTGGTCTTGCCTCACAGATTACGACGAATGAAATTGGATCAAAGAAAGGTACAAGATTCCGCTAACACGTTGGTAGATTTAGCGAAGGTAAGTTTTTTGTTGCCTATTGTTGTTTATCTTGCAGCAATTTTCTTCAGTCGAGTTAACTATTGAACAGCAGGCTCCTAATTAGACACGGTCATATTCGTTTTTAGATTTCGTTTAGAAAACACCATCAGATTATGCATCAATAACTGAACTAGGTCGTGAACCCCATGGTTTACAACAAAGCTGAATTGACGGATCAAAACCGAGGGGGTTCAATTGAAGTAACAAGAACTAATACATGGACATTATGTCATTGATTCCAATCAATCATTCTTTGCACCAGTTTGCAACCTGTGTTTAGACTTGAATAATATCAAGTGCAATGATATGTACGGAAAAAGAATATGTTTGCCATATCAACATTTCCTAAACGAGTAAAAGGAAATTGGCCCACACTTAAGGTTTATTCTCATAAAGTGTTTGGTAACTGCATGACTTTGTGTGCACGCGCGAGCACATGATGCACACAGAAAAGCTAGCCATATTCTGGCCTAAAAATACTGACATAAGCTGGCTCAATGGTATCACGAACGGAAATTTTGGGTTCTAGCTTGGTAAACAATTGAAATTTGGACAACCTATTTAAAAAGAGAAAATAACTCAATGACTGTCACTTACATCCAGTGATTTCTCCATCGCTTTCGTCTAAATAAGCATGCATTACAACTTGAAGGTCCGCATCAGGTAACTGTTATCTTCGAGTTCCGTTGCGGTTTCAAAAATAATCCCAATTTCATTTTTTTAACAGTATGGAGCGTAGCTAAATACACTAAATAGTAGCTATTGTCCCCGCATAGTTGAGTGTGTTCGATCCAAGGATAATAGAAAGTGTATACTGATGAATGATTGGTTTTTATATTCGTTTCTCAGTGCAACACGCCATTGAGCACTGAAGTATAACAGAACCGTCATTGGTGAAACACTGAGGTTGTTCTTGCTAAACGTATCATAACTCCTTTTGAACTACCTACCTGGCTAGAATGTCATTACAACGGTAAAGAAAGTAAAATGCACACATGAGACTGCTTTATGCCTCGATTGTTGGAGGCTTTGAATATCGATGCAATCTGATGCAAACCGTTTACTCTCCGCAATTCGTTAGTTTCTTAAGTGCTTGAAATTGCGATTAAGTGATCCTGGTATTATCCAAAACACTTGCGCATGGTTCCAGAAAGCAACCATAAAGGTACTATTTACTATTCTTGATTAAATAAAAAAGGAAGGAGTTAAGACGTATATTTAAATGAAGCATTTTGGCATACATAATCAAAATGCCGCAACGATTTGCTTAATATCTTGTTGAGAAATTAGGGGAACGGTTAGTTATTCGGCGTGTGTTTACCGGTGTTTGCGAGTGTTTGTTTGTGATATTATAGCAAATGCTTGTTTTGGAGTTGTCAGATTTTCTAACATTTAAGGCAATCTGATTAGAAAAAAGTCTTCCTGAATAGAATTTTGGAGGAAATGAGTGCTCTTCTACTGTAACCGTGTTAAGTGCTGTACTAAATGAGTACTCTGATAATTGAGACGGTTGTATAAGACACAATAAAATTTCGACAACTTGCAACATTTGTATACACTGATATATCTTTCAACTTGATGTGAACCAACTTCAATTGTAAGCTAAGACTGTAAACTACTAAATTGATTCAATTCCACATGTGTATCAACTTGTTGTACATCAGAAAATGAGGCACGTAAATTATTAAGTAATATTTCA